TTTAAATAATAAAAAAAAAATTGCAATTAATAATAAAAATTTTTCATACCTTCAAAAAATGTGTCCGCCATTCTTTTCGCCGGGGACTGTATGACGAATTTTAATCAAATCACTATTCATTTTTGGTCAGATTACAATTGCCGAGTAACGTCTTCAGCCGGAGGATTATTTATTGTACGGTCATGGACGAATTTGTGTTCATTTATTCCTTTCCATTGTCAACACCGCCAACTCCTTTCTTGAAATATAGTAATTAATTTGACTTCGCGACGGACGTTCCGTGTTTCAATGCAAAAAAAGTAGATTTGTTTTTTTTTTGATAATCAAATTTTTTAATATTTTGATTACATTTGCAAAAAAAAAAAAAATTTCTTTTTTGATATGATATAAATAAAATAATAATAATAATAATAATTTTTGAAAAATATATGAATTTACAATATTTTCTTTTTTTCTAAATCTAATTATACTGAAACTTATTATTATACTAAATAAGTTATACAAAGCTTATTTAATTATATAAATCATATAACAAAATGCTATACCTTGCATTTGAACTTTTCTGAAATGCTAATAATCATATTAATCATGATTATAAGTAATCTTTTTTATTAGAACTTAGAAAAGAACTTTTAATCTTTTTGCTATAAAAATGTAAACTTTTGTAAAAAAAAAAAAAAAAAAAAGAACAGATCATTTCGAACATTAAATTTGCATAACAATATAAATATTGAAATTGATAATTATAAAAAATATTTTGCAATTCAGAGTATTAAAAAAACAAAATAGAATATTAATTATAATGTTTTAAAAATAAAGTAAATTATTTTGTTAAATAATTATTTTAGAAAATTTTAAAAATAATATAATTTATATAAAATTAAGAAATAAGTAAACTAAAAAAATATATCATTTATTAAATCTATAAGAAAACCTATATTACTTTATAATATAATCTATTCTTAATATAGTAAAGTGACTATTCTACCTCAATTCATTATAGTTAGTTAGCAAAGAATTTAAAGAATTTGATTGATTACTTTAGTATAAAAGGAAAATTAATATATTAATTAATCAAGTATTATATGATTATATCAAAATTTACTATATTAAGAGTAGACTATAGTTTCTTATATTTAAGATTTTAAAAATATTTCAAACAGTAATTAACTTTTTTTATAAAATAGAATTTTTAAATTTAATAATATTTATTAAAATTATTTTTATTACTTTTAAACTAATTTTACTAATTTCAGATTTTAAATTATTAAATTTATTATAATTTTATCATATAGTTAAACTTTTAAAAAAAAATTAGTTATAATAAATTTTAGTAATTCAAATAATTTTATTATTTAGAATTTTAATATATATTTCTTTAATAAGCATATATAAAGTAAAATCTTAATTTATAAGATTTATAATTAAAACTAAAAATTAAAATATTAATCATAAAATTTTTTTGTTTATTATTATTTTTATAAAATAATAATACAATCTATACTTAATATAGTAAAATAGCTGTTTTGTATTACAAATTTATTTAGCAGGTTAGTGAAGAAATTGAAAGATTTGAATTAGTTATTTATTATAAAAAGAAAAAATTAATATATTTAATTAGTCAAGCAACATAGATTTATTATATTAAAATTTACTATATCAAAGGTAGATATATATAAATATAAATTAGTATTATAATAAAATTTTTGTTAAATTTAATAAAATAATAAATAAATAAAAATAATTTTTATATAAATAATTATCCTATTTTATAAATATTGTAATATAAAATTTCTTTTATTATTTTATTAAATATTACTAATAAATTTTAAACATAATATAGAAATTATTAATTAATTTAAAATGACCTTTACATTTAAAATTAAATTAATATATCTTATAAAGTAATATAGAAAAAAATTGCTAACTATACTATTTATGATACTTTTTCACATGCAACTAAATAATGTTTTATAATACTATTTTAAATATTAAAATATATATATAAATTTTTTACAAAATAATATAAATTAAAGAAATTTTTAAAGATTATGATTTGATAATTCTGATAGGTATAGAATATATTATATTATTATATGTATAAAAATATTCTTACTTAAATTGATGAATTTGAATTTAATATATTAATTTTCTAACTTTTAAATAATAAAAATGCATATTGATAAAATAATTAAAATTGGTGATCCTATCTATAAGGGGTATTTCGAATGATCGTTCTCGTCAATCAGATCTACATTTTAAAACGGTGATCTCGAAAAAAAACGTATGCTAAAAAAAAAAAAAGGAAAGATATTTAGCGTTACATTTAAACAAAGAAGTTTCTTCTATTGAAAAAAATAATTAATTACTTTTACTATTTTAAGAGAAGAAAATTTTTTTTACATTCGAAATCAAAATATCTAAAAAATTTTTTAAAAAAAAAAATTCGGAAATTTTCATCGAAAAAAAAAAAAATATTGAAAATCTAAATCCGAGAACTTTGTGAAAAAAAAATATAACAGAATTTATCATACAACACTAATTAGGAAAACCATAATAGTTTGTTTTTCTACTGCGATAAATGAGTTTTCTAAAACTAGAGATCATCCTAACACCAATTTGTGCAATTGTTACTCGGATAAACTTTAATGTTTGAATGTAGGATTAAAAAGGAGGTTAAATCCTTTTCTTTGAAACGGAGTTCGGAACAATAACACAAGTTTGAAAATGCAACTGTTTTAGATACATTACAACTTTGGGACTTTCACCAGAAACGATCATTGGAATCAATTGATTTGACTTATCAACAAAGCATTTATCCTTGCATGTTTTATGTTATTATGGACAACTATGTAATTGAATCCAAAAAAAAGAATACGAAAATTATGAAAATACATTAACACATGGCACCGAGTTTAATTGCAATTCGTCGATGGATTATTCATGGTTTTTAAATTCCATTAAGGTTTCTTACAAATCCTTAATAAAGTAGGACAACATTCAATTTATGTATCATATTAAACACCGAACAAACAAACGGAGTTCGGATCAATATACACCGAAAAAAGGAAATAACCACCATTGTTTCAGTTCTAAAAATATTTTATTTAGAAAATAAATTCACATAAATTAAGTACAATTTCTGTGAGCTTACCAAATATTCGTTATTTATTAAGTTTATTTTTCTTTAAAATCGAATTCTAAAACAAACCATACCATGACTATAAATAAACGTAAACGTAAGTTATGCAAATTTATTACAAATAAAAAAAAAAGTATATGACTGATAGACTCCAGAATTTTAACTAAAAAAACCTATTATGCAGATACAGGTGCTAATTGTACTGCTAAAAGTGTTTGTCCTACGACCAACGAAGTAAACGGATGGAACTTACAAGAAATTCGTAAATTTTTGGAATCGAAGAATATTAAACTTGAAGATATTATAATCATCATCGAACAAGAGGTCGATGGTTCATCCTTCCTTAAGCTGACCGCAGCAGATCTTGAGAGATGGGGAATACTAGGTGGACCGGCTATAAAAATCGAAAGTTTGATCAAGGAAATTCAAGGTAAATCAATAACTTGACGTTTTGTCATGGTTTCATTCTTTGCGTTGTATTATTTAATTATATCATCTCTTTACTTATTGTTAGGAAGCAATTCTAATAATAGTCTACGTAAGTTATCAAATTTATTAAAAAAAAAAATATTACTGATAGACTTAAGAATTTGAACGAAAAAAATATGCATATTCAACTAAATGTTATACAGATACTGCGAAAGGTACTCGACCTACGGAAGATCCTAAAAACATCATAGACGAGGAAATTCGAGATAAATGGCCTGATTTTTGGTTACCATGGTTTCATTCCTTGTATTTCTTTTTTACTTATGGTTTCCGCCATGTAGGAGGCAAAAGACCACTTACCGGGGATATATTCCTTCTGTTCGATCATTCGAATCTGCTCGAACAAGGTAAAGAAACCGTGAAGCGTTGTGAGAACCTAGTTGATAAGCCAATTTTGTACATTGAATACGAACAACTTCGAAAAACGATAGCAAAAGGACGAAATTTGGGTGACCTTGCAGTAATATACTGCTCTCGTTTTTCCCAAAGTCATGACAAAAGGATGGATAATCTTTGGAATAAGCGTATAGAACAAGGTTTTGCTGTTAACCTCATTAAACAAAGACCGAATTCGACAAGAGAAAAAAAAGTAGACACTTCATTAATTGTGCAAGGAATGAAAATCTTATATACTAAGGAACCCGGGACATTGATTATAATAGCAGGCGATGGTGATTATATACCATTAGTTCAAAGTGCTTTGGATAAAGGTTGGAAAGTTGAAATATGGTTCTGGGGATCAGGTATGAAAATATTGTTGTTTGAGGTCATGAATTTGTCTAAATGAAATCTCTACCTTTAAGGATTGTCTGGAGAATATAAACCTGAATTATCTAATACATTTGGAACAAATTATAGTCTCCACGTTCTGGATGATGAATATAAAAAAGTTACATATGCACGTGGACCAGAATCTCCTCGTAAATTTACTTTTGAAATCAAACATGAATATGTTGAAAATTTAAAAGATGATGACCTGTTAAAAATTTTCGTTGATATAGATTTATTTGGATGGTGGCATTGGATCAATAATAATACTTTAAAGGTTTATGTTAATACAGAAAAACAGGAAGAAGAGGTAAGAAAGAAGCTTAAAATATTCGAAGAAACCATGAATTTAAACCAGAATTAGCGTATTTGGATGAAAATAATCTTGGCGAAATTAAATTTTGTATATTACATAATCTATTATTTTGTTTTATTTAATTGTTAAATAAACTTATATGAACATAATTGGTCAGAAAATTCAAAGTAATTTGAGGTGTTCTCCACTGGATCATTACTGAAATCCATTACTAAATCATTATCTTGTTTTCTGAAAATATAAGAGGAAAAAGGTATCTTACTAATAATGAAGTCTTTACAAATTAGTTGATAAGTTCCAATATTCTTTTCGATAAATTCATTTTCATTACTAAGCTTAATCAAAAAAAACTTTATTTGTTCAGCAAAGTATTTCTCCTTTATGCAAGTAAATATATAATATCCTATCGTTTTTATAAATATTATCTATTCATTATCTTCAAAACAATACCTGCCATATTATATTCATAGAAATTTTACCAGGAGAAAAAATGGCAATACAATTCAAAATTTTTTATGCAGAAACTCAAGTGATATTTTATTATATGTCCTAAATATTTTTGCTGGTCGAATCAGGTTGATTATCTATCATTTATGGATAAAGTATAAAATAAAATAATGAAATATTGCGCGCGTTATATTTTACATAAAAATTTCGTATTCACTTGATCCTGTAAAAAATCTCTTAAATTAAATTTTTAAATCACCAAAAACAACTTTACCACCAAATACAGTAGCTAACACTTTTGTATCAACAATTTGCATTTCAGGTACTTCCATAATATCTCTATCAATTACAACAAAATCGGCATATTTTCCTATAGTAATCGATCCCATCTACAAAATAAATTCTTTAACCAACCAATTTCTCGTATACATAAAATACTTGTAAAAATATCCATATCAAAATTGAAGACTTACTACGTTTTCGCTGAATCCTGCATAAGCGGCATCAATAGTAAATCCTTTTAACGCCTCTTGTCGAGTTAATTTTTGTGATGGGAACCATCCATCTTTTCCGTGTGGCTATTAAGTTCAATAATAATCATAATAAAATAGTTAATTACTCGTGACAATTAATCACACGATATTTATTAAACTTACGGAATTTCCGTCAACATCTTTTCTTGAAATAGCAGCATGAAATCCTAAAAATGGATTTACATGCTCAACAGGAAAATCAGAAGAAAGCGGGAATGCTTTCACCCTATAACACAAAAGATATAATCAATAACTTTACAAATTAATTCGCATTCGAGTGTAAAAAGTTTGAGGAAAACGGACCCTGCTTCTATAAAACTCCTCCATGCATATGCGCCCTTAATACGCTCACTACCTAACCTCTGTTCAGCATACTTCATATCAGAAATTGCTATAATATGAAATCTTTCATCAAATTATTCAACGTTAACAAAATAGAAACAATTTATTTCTAATAAATAGTTTACCGTGAGTGGGTTGCATTGATGGTATGATATTCAATCTACTAACGCGTTTAATGTCTTTCAAAGTCTGAAATCACCAGGAAAAAAAAAATTTCTTTTAGAATATTTACTTAATAAACACCTTCCTTCACACATTTTAAATAATCTTTAATTACCAAAATTTGTGCGTGTTCGATTCTAAATCTAACTTTCTCTGCAATTTTCTTTACTTCTTCATCAATTTCTTGTTCCGACAATTCTTTATCGACATTTTGTGATAATACATAATCCTTAAAAGCTGCCTCATATGCATTGATTACTACATGATTTGCTTTATCACCTATACAATGTGTATTAACTTGGATTCCCTAATTTATTTACAAAAGGTGATCTTAAAAAGATTTAAATAAATTTGGATGTCACAAAAACTAATGAATCTTGGGTACCTTATCCATCCATTTTCTGATTTCGGATGGTAACAAAGTTGGATCAGACAATAGAAGTCCATGTTTCGTTTGATCATCTTTAGAGTTGAGAAATACTTGGTATTATACGCAAGTTTAAAGTTTCCTTCAATCTGCAAGAATGTAAGCTTACCAGAATAAGGTTCCAACATTGCTGATTTTGCAAAAATACATAAAACATAATAAATGCGTTGAACAATCTCGGATAGAATAAATATTAATTAAACCCACCTGCTCCCCAACTTCCCAAAGCACCATCCATAAATAGCTTAACGCTTCTAACAGTCAATCTTCCATCACCTAATCCTTCAACTATCTCAATACCATCAATATAATTATTATTTGGTACTTCAACCATTGCGTAATATCGGATATTAAAATCTTCCGACTGTTCATTAATAATCCTAGAAATGCGAATAAATTAACAGTAGATATATATTTTTTTAAAGAAGAATATATACAACATACCTTTTGTAAAATTTAAGTGTATCGAGCGAGACACTTGCATCATGTACTCCAATTAATCCAAAAGAATGCATTCTATAAATCGCTAATCGTAATTGCTGTAATAATGTTTGTTCACTTGGAGAAGGCATAATTTTCGCTAAAAAAAACGACAAAATTTATAAAATTAAATTATCTTTTTTTGCTAATTTTTCTCCTCGAATCGTTAATTAGATATTTTACTGATTAGTTGCATAGCGTTATCAACGAAAATCCCAGTTAATTCGCCAGTTTCTTTATCTTTTCCAATTTCACCACCATCAACAGTCTTTTCTTCTATTTTAACTAAAATATTTTTATTTACTAACATAACATGTCCATCAATACGTGACAATGAGATCGAAAATTTCTTGAGAAATGGATCACAATCTATATCGTTCTATTTATTATTTGATAAGTTTAAAATAATGATTTTTTATGTAAAGAAATAATGATGAGTTAATAAATGCACTCACACAAGTTGGAAATGATTTTGATGTCCATAGTGTTTGATCCCATCCCCATCCTACGATCCATTCCGTGGTAGGATCGATCCTAGGATGTGAACCTATATATTCACGAATTCTTTCACGTATCTCTGTCAAAAAAAATATTTTTATTACTCAAGATTAATCGTCACGTGATTTTCAATACAAAGAAAAGCAATCACCTTCAACGGATTTTGATCCTATGAGATTCACTGATAGTAAAGAATCTCCTAGATATTGCAAGTGCTGTAAAACGAACTTTATGTAAATTTGATTACAAACTTTATAGAGAAAATAATCCAATCATTAGATACCCCGTGCGCATCAATTAATCCAGGTAATATGGTAAGACCTTTTAAATCGATACTCTAAAATTAACCATGTCAATATTATATATAATATAATAAAAGATAAATTATAAATGCTATATGGACATACTTTAAATCCTTTCCATTTTTTCATTAAATCAATTTTATTACCAATATCTATAAACCTTCCATTCATTACTACAAATGATTCGATTTTTGGTAAATCATTATCAGAAGTATAAATATTTGCATTATGGATTATGTAACCATTTGGTGGTTCACTACAAAAAAAAAAAAAAAAGAAAGGATTTAAAACTTGGAAAATTAAATTTTATAAAAATACATAATTACCTTGAGCAATTCATCATGATAAAGTTCTATTAAATTTTTTTTTTGAAGAACTTGTAAATAACTGGCATTTTGTGTAACGTAGAAGTGATTCCAAAACAGGTTTTTTGCTACATATATTCTAAATCGGAAAATTAAGCTACACTATTCAATTGTTCTAAGCTTTCTGAGCTTAACTTGATAGAGATTTTTGATCGGTTCGAATTTAGTCTTTTTATCGATTGCATAATCATATCTTCGTTTCCGAGGTTACCATTTTTTTAAGTATAAAATTGAATTCCTGCCTATTATAGTAATTGGTATAACGTGATCCAAATTTAAACGTGGAAATTTACTTATTTTATTTACCAATTTACTGCGCATATTTACTACGCCAAACCGCCTTATATAGTAATATATATGGCCAGTTATCTTTTCACAGATTTCCGAATTTTTGTTTTTTAATTAAAATGGAGAAAACGGTAGAATTAAACGTAAATCATTTAATGAACTTAAAGGCGGCTCGTAATTTATACGAGAATTCACAACCTATTACAGCTTGCGATTTCGATCAGACTGGAGAATACTGTGTAACTGCTTCAGCTGATGAATCGATTAACTTGTATAATTGCGTCCAAGGAAGGTAAATAAATATTGTTCTATCCAACGGCAACATTTGCCTAGTATATTATTATTGTTTTATTATTATTATTTCAATTAATAAAGATCAAACCTGATATACGAATATTTGAGTTTGATCGTACGGAAAATCTCCCTCGTAATTTGTTATATGATCAAAGATGAATTGAAATCATCAATCATTAGACTAACTAATTTCTCTAATTATTATTATTATTATTTTGATCACAGGCATAAGAAATTGATTCTTAGTAAAAAGTATGGAGTGCATCTAACGCGGTTCACTCATCGACATACAGATATTATATACGCGTCAACCAAAGAGAATGGTAACTGGTTCGTCATTCTTCCAATCTATAATTGCTTTAATGATCATTGGACGTGATAATTGATACTAACTTTTATATATGATTCGCTTAAATAGATACGTTGAGATATTTGTCACTACACGATAATCAGTTCATAAGATATTTTGAGGGTCACCAGAAAAGGTATTCTGATGATATCGCGTTAATGTTGATAAATACTTGATAAATAATAACAGTAAGAACATTTCTTTCTTTTTTTTTTAGGGTGGTAAGTTTGGAGATGTCACCTGTGAGTGATCAATTCGCTTCGGGTGCTGTAAATGAAGGAGTTCGGTTATGGGATTTACGTACGCCCACTTTTTTGGTGTGTAATTACTCATTATATATTTATAAACTATGAAATTACTTTTATTTAAAATTTTGTATTTCTTCACTTGTAGGGATTTATTAATATTGAAAATGGAAGACCTTGTATCGCCTATGATCCGTCAGGTATCGTACTAGCAATTGGACTTCAGAGCCATGATAATGTTATAAAGTTATTTGATATAAGAAAGTTTGATCAGGTAAAATCATAAAAAAAATTTACTTTATAAATATATTTTATTAATAATATAAACTTGTTTTTCCTTATAGGCGCCGTTTACCACGTTGAATGTGATAGATAATTATGCGTTACCTTCCTCACATCCGCGCCCTCCGACACAACCTGAATGGACATCTATTAAATTCAGTAATGATGGCGACAAAATTCTTGTCACAACTTCGGGAGATGTTCATTACGTAACGGATGCATATAATACCGACATGAAAAGGCGATTAATTGGTCATGTTGGATTAAATAATGCATCACAATTATTAGGAGGAGAAGAAACAAGTTGGACTCCTGATGGTCGTTTTGTAGTTGGAGGTAATCTATGATACGAGTGATGATCTTATACCTTAATTATTAAGTATATTTGTGTACAAATTGAATTTTTCTCCTTTAGGATCACAAGATGGAGTGATAAATTTTTGGGATGTAGAAGCACCTCTAAAGAATTCAGCTGTGCTTGCGGAAGGGATAGATTCTCGACCAATACATACACTAGAGTATCATGTTAGGCCAACGCAAGTTGTTAGATTTAGTCCTACAAAATTGATGATGGTTAGCGGCTGTACAGATTTGGTGAGTCATAATATAATTTTACGTCATTTTTCTCTCTTAATCGATCAATGTTCCCCACATTTTAGGTTTTATGAGTTTAAACTTGTGGTTTATAACGATCGAAGAATAATTAAAGTGATCTAATACAAGTTGTTCTCGAATTGCTTGTTGAGGTTGCTTTTAGATCTAATTTTTCCACTCCGGGTTTCATGTTTATTAAAAAATTTTGTTATCCGGATAATTACGATCAACATACTTTTTTTATCTATTACAAGTAAATTTTACCAACATACTTCTTGCTATTTATTTATATACCTTTCAAGACTTTTTGGCTACCATCATTTGACACTTTGGAAGAAGAAAAAGGATTTAAGTCAGATGAACTGACACCACCCATATTTAGTAATGACAGTACAATGACAATGGATGTCAATTATGGTCAATCCACAATTAAAGGTAGTGAGGTTGGTTTTGAAAACGTTGTCGGCACTTTAAAAGTTCCTGAATTTGGTGGTGGTAATAACCATGATGATAATAATGGAAATGGGAACGGATCATTATCGTATGCACCATCGCCTCCATCAGCTGCACCGTCAACAACAACAATCAGTGGAGAAAGTGACAATAGTATTGGTGAAGCTACAAGTTCTTCTGCCATTCCTATAACTGAAGTTCCTCAGATTGTCATTAATAAAAATGAAACTGACAATCAACAGAAATCAGAAGCACCAGGTCCTTTATCTGACGGGGGAGGGACTGATCCCATGAAAACCGATTGATTTTTTAAAATGGTTTTTTTTTATTATAATGTGAATTACGTTCAAATATCTGTAACTCGTTTAAAAAATTATAACATTTTTATAATTTTTTTTTTTTTTTTACATTTTCAACGAAAAAAAAAAATTTATTTTTCCCAAAAATTTAATAATATTATATAGATATATGAATCTGAATTTTTTAATGTTCTTTCGGTTGTTTAATTTGTACCCAGTATATAAATTTCTCATTAACGTGAAATATATTGATTAAACTATATTGATATATTTGAAAGGAAATACGGTAATAAACTCTTAATCTTGAGCATCCACGTGTTGATGCCTTCTTAAGAAAGCTTCTCTCAAAATTGCATTAATGGACTGATAACCGGTCACCTCTGAAGAACCTTCATTAATATACTCACCATTCTGAAACCGATAATGAAGGTCATGACTCAATCCTTGATCCATAGAACCAACATTCTCAATTGCGGATGAAGAAGTTTCCTGTCTTCTTCCATGATGATTTGCACAAGCAACTCTCTCGTCAATTTCCATGCATCCAAGATCATCTTGCAATTCATTCACAATATGCGAAGTTCGCGTCAAATTAGCGAGATACAAAACCGAATTGATGTTCATATAAGGATTTAAAAGTTCAGTAGAGGAGGATGATGATGCATCGGATCTTGTCGAGATTCTGATTGGGTTACGATGAAGTTTATGGATATTTGGATTTAATAAAGACGTACCACCTAAAGATGATTGTTGCTGTTGTTGTTGATGATGAATGTGATGATATGAAGTTGTAAATTCGGTGGTATCCGCATAGGTTGAGTGAGATGATGGCGTTCTTGGTGATGATTCTGAACTTGAGTTAAAGAGTTCGGACGGAACCACTCTGTTTACATTACATGAACCAATGAATCAACTTTAAATTTAACATCAAGGTATAATAATATCATACATATTTTTAATGTTCAGTGAAAAAAAGGTTCATTTTTCGCTTTCATCAAAAAAACTTAATTAAACCAACCTCAAGTTTTCATGGTCCAAATCTAACCGCATTCTCTTCAAGTCTACTTTTCCAGCCTTTTCCTTGTAATTATTCCTGCCATCCATCATAACACCACCAAAACCTTCAACACTTTCCTTATTATCACTTTCTTCGTCTGGAACGCGTGTTCTCTTCTTCGATTCAAGCAACATGATAAGGGTGAAGCTTAAATGGTTTTAAATGGATAAGTGATGCTGCGGTTCGTACTATTAAATATTTAAGGTCCGCTCGAAAAGGTAAACTCGTGATAAGAACTTGTTTGGGGCTAATCAAAGAGGTTGTAAAGTGACATTTCGGTCGTGTTTGTAATAATATTCTACTTGTGATAAATGAAATTTATATTTTTTTCCAGGTAGAAACTGGATAGAAAAGAAAATTTTTTTCAAAGTATATTTTTTTTTTTTTTTTAGCGCGTCACTGATTCGCGAAAAGTATAATAACGTAATTACGATGATTCAATCCTTGTCATGAAGTTACGCAATTCTCGGAGTTCGGGATTTTCGGGATTTTCGGAGAATCAAGTGATAGCCGCAGTTTCACACCAAAAAAAAAATAATTATAAATACTCCCGATGAACGCAAAATTTTTATATAAAACTTTCGAGATATTATAAATCAGATATAATAGAATTAGAATAGAATAATATTTATAGAAATACATAGATTAATTTAGAAAAGAAATTTAAATTTCAAATTTTTTTTTTTTTTCTTAAAGAAAAGATGACATCGAAAAGAGTTTTGGTAAGCTCGATTTCTTCTTGTTTATGATCTGATTTGATTTTATTTTTCTTTTCAACCTAAATGAATTTGCTGCGGATCGTTGTCATGTCCAGTTGGTTGGCTTGGGAAACCACACACACCCTCAAACATGGCATAGCATAGGGATGCTTCTTTTAGATCATATAGCATCACAGTTAAATATCACTTGGACAAAAAATAAATCGATTCACGCATACATCACACAACCAACTACGATTTACGTCGACCCCACTTCTTTATCAGGGTCATCATCATCTAAACAATGTAAACTGCACAAGAAAAAGAAAGCAACAAAGAAAGAATGGGATTTTGGTAGCGAATCAGATGAAGACATCAAGGCAACCATCAATACTACCGTTCAAGATGATGTGTTTAATAATTCAAATCTCCTTTCAATGACCGATTCATCATTACTGCCCGAGTCATCAAAACATCCATCTCCATTATCCTCACCATCATCGGGATTGTCAGACGTTACATCCTCACCTAAACTTCAACCAAAAAAATCCAAACCAAAACCTGATCTTGTTCCTATTGAATTGACTCTATTGAAACCTATGTTCTTAATGAATGTTAGTGGGAAATCGGTCTCGAAAGCAGGTTTGTTTGACATACCTAAGAATGTTCATTTTACTTTGTTTGTTAAATAATGAACTTATAATAAATAAATCATCTAATTGTCAAAATAGCACGAGAGCTTCAATTCTCGCATTCGAATATGATAATCATTCATGATGATATGCAACGCGAACTCGGTAAATTCAGCATAAAAAATGGCGGCAGTGCGAGGTAAGAAAAATGAAGAAAATTTAATAAATTAATTGGATCAAAAAAGTCAAAATTTTAATGTTCTTTTGATTCTAAGTGGACATAATGGAATTAAATCGGTAATCGATCATTTGAAAACCGACGTAGGTGTAATTCTATCTTTTTATTTAAAAAAATTTTTCGCAAAATCTTAATTCACATAATTTTTATTTTAGGCATTTCAAAGATTAAGAATTGGCATAGGCAGACCTCCAAATGATGATCGATCACGTGATACCGTATCGGATTTTGTTTTGTCACGTATTCCTTCCAATGAAATGGAAATTTATAAAAATGACATATTTCCAAGATGTAAAGATGAATTATTTAAAGCTAGCATGAATATCAAATAAAGAAATAAATAAAATACCAATATCTGAATGATTAAATAAATAAATTAAAAGGTATAATTGCTGGTGATGTCATTATTTATTAAATGATTAAAAATAAATAAAATGATTTTATAATGATCAAAAATACTAACCACGTGATTAAACTCATATTATATCTTATCATTAATAGATCCCTTTTTTTACTTTGCTATTAGCCAGAAACTTTTTTTTCTGATACATTGCCTTTTATAGTAATATATTAATATATTACCAAAAATATTTTAAAGTACACAAAAAAATGTTGTCTCAAAAACGTTCTAAAAATGTACTTACAAGCCCATATTTTATACCAAAAAATTTTACTAAACCTTCTCAGGATTTATTGATTCGAAAAGATTGTTTTATTAATAATCGACTGTCATTGAATTCACTTAATGCAGTATATTATCCAATAACAAAAAACGATCGTAAAGCTTTTAAAAATCCAAAAACTAGTAGAAATGTGACAGAATTCCAATTTAAAGTATATGATCTTTGCTCTCAGGTAATCATAATTCTTAATTCACTAAATATAATGCTTTAACCTGATATTTTAATCATTTATTTGGTTACATTTATGTGAATAAAATCTAGATCCCTGAAGGTGATATAAATTTACTTATAGAAATGGTTAATATGAATTCTCGAGTTATTATTAACATTAAATTGTTCAATATTAAAAAGGATATGTTTCGACATATAGAATGATAGCAACAGCTCTATCATCATCACCACGTGCAGTTGGAGGTGCACTCCGTGTAAATCCTTTTGCTCCTTTACCAGTACCATGTCATCGCGTAATTGCTTCAAATTTTTTTATTGGTGGATTTGATGGTGAATGGTTTGGGCGTGATGATAAATCTCGCAGTAAAAAAGAAAAATATAGAAGTGAAAAAATTGATCGTAAATCGGAAAGATTAGCTAAAGAAGGGATTTTGTTTGATAATGAAGGTTGGTTAATTGAATGGCAAAGATCGTCTCAGATTTTTAATGATTTTGATGTTTCAAAATTATCTTGATCCAAATTCCCTTTTCCCTTTCATATTATAACCTTCACCACTTCTTACATTACCAGTCAATATTGCAAATTGAGTTTAAATAATCAATAAGTTTGCAAGTTTTCTGGTAAAGTGAAAAATAAAAAAACTAATCAAATTAAAGTAACCGAGATAAGGGGGTTTTTTTTATTCACTGTTATTAGTATTATTAATTATTAATTATTTTTTGTTAAAAATTCTATTGTTTTGTTTTGCCGTTGATTTTCTTCACGAAGTCGTTCGACTTCTTCACGTAATGCCATAGTTTCTCCTCGATTTTTTAAAAACATCGTCTCTAATTCCATCTATAAATTAGAAAAAGGCATTTAAAAATTAATCTATAAATATATACGATTATAAATAACAATAAAACCAAGAAACCTTTTGAATGTGAAACTGTCGTAACAATTCTAAATGCATATTTTGTATATCGTTTCGTAATGATATCCGGAAGTCTTGTAAACATTCATCAACAACGCTTCCAATAACTTGAAGCTGAAAATTTGTTGCTGTGTTTATTGTGTTAACGTTTTCGTCAGCAGCTCCATTATGGGTCTTATCATCAATGATGTTTTTAGCGGTAACGTTCTCGTCAGTGGCTCTATTATGGTTCACGTGGTTCTTATCATAAATCATATTTTTAGTATTAACGTTTTCGTCGGCTCCACCATGTTTCACATGGATCTTATCATCAGTAATGTTTTTAGTAATAACGTTTTCCTCAGCAGTTCTACCATGGATCTTATCATCAATGATTTTTTTAGTAATAACGTTTTCCTCAGCAGTTCTACTATGGTTCTTATCACCAATGATGTTTTTAGTAATAACGTTTTCGTCAGCGGTTCTAATATGATTCACGTGGATTTTATCATCAATGATGGTTTTAGTATCAACATTTTCGTCAGAAGCTACACTATGGGTCACGCGAATCCTATTTTTATCAATAATGTTTCTAGTATTAACGTTTTCGTCAGCAGCCCCATTATGGTTCTTATTATTATCAATGTTATTTTCTGTGCTACTAGAAAAGGTGTCATCGGAAGTGATATCATCCTTAACCACTTTCTTAACTGGCGAAAACATGTCCATGTAATTTTTTCCCTTTGATTCACTAAGGACCGGAGATGAAGATTTCGCTGCCACACCCTTCGCTGATCTGTTAGAAGAAGAAGCGGGAAGTGTCGTCCCTCTTGAGGATGTTCTAACATGACTATTCTTATTCTTACTCAAGGTAGCGCGGCGCATGGAAGCACGACCTTTCTCCTAACATAATTTATATAATCTGTAAATATATAAAATGTTTGTATAAATGTGTTAAAATTTTACCTGAAAATGTAAACATTGAATAGGCCGAGATTCGCATCCGTTTAATGTACACATGACTTTGTTGAGCGAACGCAAGTCATATATCAAAATCTTGCCTTTATTAAAAAAAAACAGTCAAATTAGTCATAAATTAAGTATTTACATGAATAATAATAATTTAAAGATTATTAAAAACGTAACAAGCACTTACCTTGCAGCGTACCAACTGCTATAGTGACACAGTCTGCCCTGTAGGCCAATGACGTCAAAGGCGATTCTGTGTATATATTTTTCAGACATCTTTTATTTTTTTGACCATGACAAAAGTCCAAAACATTAAAATTTGATTCAACTCCAAACTGCAACAATTTTTCGCAGAGGAAAGAAAACAAAATATTCAGGATTCTCATATTAACTTAACCTGTAAAAGATAAATTGACTACATACTCTTTTTTGCCAACATCATACATAACGATACGCCTATCCATTCCTGCACTTAACAACAAATGTGAATTGGAAGGCGAAAAGGCTATTCCTTTAATCTCTGAGTGATGGGCTTTTTCATATGTCTGGATTGCTGTCGTAGATCCACTGGTATCCCACAATCGTAATGATCCATCTTCACCACCAGCAGCCAACAGACCTCGTTTGACATATGAATATTGCAAAACGTTTATTGGCTACAGCAATGAAAATTAGTTTCAATTAGAATTTAAAAAACTTAATAAATTGGAATTGGATCTTTGCATACTTGTTTCGTCAATACAGTTAAATTATTCCGTGAATTGGATTTTTGTCGATTATGAATAATGATGTTTCCATTTAAGGCAGAACTAGCCACAATGGATTCATCCAAATTCAAATCAATACATGTTACAGCACTACTGTGTCCCTAATATATTACAAAAATGTTTTTAGTAAGATTTATTAATACATAATCGATCAATAAAGATTTACCTCCAAAGGCTCAAGAAAACTTGATCCTTTACGATCCCAGATATTAACAATCTTATCAGAACCTCCAAATAAAACATATTGTGATTTATCTGAAAAGCGAAGCGAATTAATTTTTGTGTAATCGTCCTACGAAAGTTAAAGAACCATTGATGTTAACGAACAAGTTCCTAGAAAGCGTGTTGATTAACCGATAGATCCTTGTAACTTACTGATCCATGATTATTCGACGGTATTGTTTCTATGAATGTTCCTTGCGAATCATGTATTGTAAGAGTTCCTTCATTTCCCACTACAGCCAATAGCTGATCTAAAATAATGAAAACAAAAGAATTATAAAAGATTAAATTGCCCTAAACATATCTATGATTCATTAATAATGCGTTTGCATTTAACGCATTATGTTTACTTACTGTCGTGGTTCCAACGAACTACACTGACTCCAGTTGAAGCATCGTGAGGAGCAAACGAAGAAACTTCAACACCAAGCAATTGTTCTGGAATAATAGTCTTTGATGTCTCAATTTCATTGGAATTCTTATCACCAGGTATCGACTTTAAATCCCATATTTTAACATCTTTTGACGCCGAAACTAACAAATTTGCCGACATTTTATAAAATAAACAAAAATCCTTAGAAATAACGTGAAAAGTTGAGTATGAAAATAGAAAGGAAAACAATCTACGCGAGTTTTATAGAGTGTAACCTTTAAGGCACGTGATATATATAGCATGAAACTGCACATTTGACATTGCGCGTGTTTCGAAAAATTTATTTTAGCCGCTATTGACTATCACGTGACTTTACTTTAAAAAAATTATTTATACATGGTACATCTTATACTATTCTAAACTAACCTTTATTAGCATTGTTAGTAATATAATTTTCTATTTTATTTAAAGAATTTAAAATTCTAATATATAATATTGATTTTATTTTTTCTTTTTAAAAAATAATATTTGATATTAATTACTTCTATATAATAAAATACTTATTAAGATAAAAATTGGATTAAATCAAAAATTACTTATATTTAATATTAACTATTTTAATTTAATTTTAATTTAATATATATATTTAAAAAAAAATCATTAAATAAAAAATATTATTATTGTTAGATTTACTAATTTACCCTTATACTATGATTAGCTAGAATATTTGAATTATTAAATTAAGATTAAGATTAAGATTGGAGTTATATATTAGGTGATTTATTACCAGTGCAATACTAGAGATATTTTAATTTTTATTATATTTTTAAAAAACTTAAAATTTTTTGGTAAATTTATCATGATATTATTAATGTATAACCTTTTCAGGTTGCAACTATTAAATTGATATCTGAGAGTTGATTCTTTTATAGTTTATATATAATTTTAATCAGTTTCATATTAATCTTAGTTATTCTATTACTAGCTTTATCAAATTAGGTTGAGTTTACTAACACAAGTGACTTTTATTACAAGTTAAAGTTTTCATAGTAATTATGAAGAGTTTTACATAGAAAAATAAGAAATACTTTATTGAATAGAAAAAAAATAATAATATAATAAAATATAATAAAAATAAAAAAAAGAGAATAAACAAGAGGAATACATAAAGTAAAAAAATAACGTTGTGTTATCTTTTATAGAAGACTTCTATATAACTATCAATCTGTTTTTTCTAACTTACTAAGAACTTATATTTACAATTAACTCTTATTATAGTTACACATTTGAGACATCTTATATTCTGTAACTATGACGAGATGTAACTATAAAATAAAAAAATTATTTTAATGGTAAAATATAAATAAAAAACTATAAGAAACATATAATATATTAATTTTATTAATTAATAGACAAGTTATTTATTATGTAATTATATTAAGTATATTATTAAAATCAAAATTATATATACAATATTAAAATGTTTTAACTAGAAGAAAAATAATCTTCAATTGATTTTTGTTATAAAAATATAATATAACGTACTTTCAAATCTGAAATATAATGTCTATAAACTTTAAAATTATCTATTTTAAATCTATTATCGATAAGTAGTTATTTATAAAAGAGAATTACTTTTTTAACTACATCAAGTGCTTTCTTTGGTAAAACTTTTAGAATTAGTTCCTCTTCATTATCAGTATCAGGCGCTTCTTTATCATCTTATACTATATCTATAATTTGTTTATCAGTTAAAGTTTCTTCAATAAGTGATGAAATTTGATTATAAATATAATTTACTAAACTATTTCAGATTTTATTATCAATGAAAATTATTAGAATTATATTTAAAATTTCATTAACAAGTACATCTAATCTTAGTTGTATTGATTCAGAATTAGAATTAGATATAATTCTGATTTTATTCTAGAAATTGCATATGATTTGTTATTCTACACTTTCTCAAGCTTTCATAATATAATCAATAACTTATTTAATGTTCAATTTATTTTTATATTAAGTAAATATTAATGATTTTATACAAAAATAACAAATATGAAAAAAAATAAAAAATACTTACTTGTGTACACCAGTACCTTAATCAAATTCTTCTAATTAAATATTAAACATATAATTGCTTATATTTGACTTATATTTAATAATTATAAATAAATTCATTTAATAAAACTTTAATTATTATTCAGATTCATAACAATTTCCATTTTCATTTTCAGTAAAAAAATATACTTTATTTTAAAATTTTGAATAATTCTAGCATCTATCAGTTGAAGTTTTAACATCATATTTGGTAAAAGAAATATAATTCAAATATTGATAAGTTAAATACAATCTTTTTTTACTTCATTATCTTTTCTGTTTAATGAATCATAACCTTTTTGTTTACAATAAATTATTTTATCATTTTCTGAAAATTCTCTAGATTCATCATTAGTAAAAATATTATTAAAATCATTATTATCATTATTATTATAATTGTTATTACTTTCATTTTTATCAGAAGAAGTAACAAATTTATACGATGAAGCATTATCAATAATTAAAATAATATGTTAGCCTTGAAGACAAAATTCACAATCCAATTTACTAATCTATCTATTAAAATATCATATTATATCTATGTCTTTTTATTTGCTTTATACGTAACTAGAAGTTAAAAAGTTTAAATATTGTGAAAAGCTTGTGACTTTAAGAATTTACTAATTTCAACTTGTGATTTCCAGATGCATTTAATGCTAACATTATGGTACTCTAGTTTTATCCTATTAGTAAAAAATAAAGAAATTTTTTAGTAATATATTATTATTAATACAAGAATAATAAGTAATAATATTTAGTTAATTAATATTAATAATATATACAAATACAGTCAGACCCCTATATAGTCACCAAGTTAGTTTCATCAAATTTGATGATTATATAAAAGTGTGACTATATAATAAAACTTTTATATAATCATCTTTATATTATAAATCATATAAAGTGACTATATAGAAGTTAATAGTTTAATTCGATAGTATAATAGATTAAAATAAAGCATATAAAATTTGATTTATTAAGAATTATGAAAATTTATACAATTATCCATTTTTATTTATTTCTTTAATATCTAATTGCTAAAATAAATCAGTTATTATAGTTTGCTTTCTAGCTTGCAATTCAAGTTGTTGTACTTTATTTAGATATTTTTTAAAAATATCTAAATCTTCTGTTTTAAATTCATTTGTTATTTGTTGTTTAAAAAAAGTTATCCAATTCTGTAAAGATTTGATTACATCAACGAAAAATACTAGTAATAGTTCAAAATCCTCTTTAGAATCATTATTTTCATTATTATCTATTCTTATTTAAACCAATTTTATGATCTCATCATCATTTAAAAGATCTTTAATTAGAATTTTTTCTAAATTTTGAAAGAAATCATCAATTGCATTTTTTAATGGAAAAGCACAAGAGTCATAAAATTTATCAATTATTTGATTGATTCTTGCTATTTCTATATCCATTATCTCTTGATGAGCCTGTATTGCATTATCTATATTTTCATCAGTTAAAGAAGGCAATATTCCTGTTTTATTCCAACAATTACAGATTGTTTCTTAAGTTACATTATGCCATGCATTTGCCAAATATTCAATAGCTTCTTTGATATTAATTTTCTCCTTATTAATATCTTTATCTTTCTTCAAAGAGTTGCAACATATAATAACAATAATATTATTTATAGTGATTTTTAAAACTTGCAATAATCCTAGTATCGAGAGGTTGAAGGTGGCTTATAGTATTTAGTGGTAAAAAGACCACTTCAACATGTGTAAGCTAGAATTGATGAGTATCTAATAGAGTAAACTTGTGTCTTCTTGATCATGAAACTTGATTTCTTTTAAAAAAAAATACAAATTCAGTAAGTTTCTATAATTTACTTTTAAATTTAAAAAAAAAATTTAACTTACCGCATTTTTTTGAAGTAGAATCCAAAGTAGAATCAAAATCTAGAGTAGAACCCAAACCTGAAGTAGAACCTAAACCTGAAGTAGAACCCAAACTCAAGTCAAAGTGTAATGGAACATTATCAATTAAAAGCAAAATCTTCTTATTTTATGTTCTAAAATGCCTATTCATATCAAGAAGTATTTCTTCAAATAACCTTGAATTCATCTATACCTTAAGATTTCTATGGTAGTGAACTAAAAGACGGTCTAAATTAACATATAAGAAAGATCTTAGATACTTTGATGTACCAATCACCCATAGCTTAAGTTTGTTAGTTTTTATAACATTTATATCTAAAAGGAAAGTAATTCGCATTTTATCCTTTTTTAACCAAGAACTAGTTTAATGAAAAGTGTTTGATTTGAAAATATTTTATAATAAAGACCCATTTTATCAATATTATATATTTGATCTAAAGAATATTGGCTTAATAATTGACGGAGTTTAATTTTCTCTTCTGAAAGGAATACTATCAGTACACTTCCTGATTCCCCATGTATGTGATGCTAACAAATATTATTCCTTTTTTTAAATCTATCTAACCAATTATTGGAAAATCTAACTCATCTTCTTGTATATTAAATGCATTGACAAAAAATCTTGCCTTTTCCTTTATCAATAAATTCGTTAAAATGACACTACCTGCTGTTACATTTTCTACCCACAAGTTAATAGCATTGTCAAGAAATGGAAATTTGACCCTCTATGTCTGAAGATTTCTCTAGAGTCTTCAATTTCTATTGTAGCACTCTATTTTTCACTATTTGTTAATATCTTTATTATGGTATTATGATCAATATTTAATGTCGAGTTTTTTTCATTAAATTTTTTTTGCAATTTTATGATGCTTTTTGTTACTATTTTTTTTTGCTCACTAACAAATTTTATGTTTAAGACTGACACTTATAGCAAAATATTATTTAAGTTAGCCAGAAGGTTGTTTGAATCAGTCGTGAGGCATTTACAAACTTATTTAATAAAACAAGCCATTAGAAGTTATTTTGAAAAGAAAAGAATCAGAAAGGCACAAAAAAATTTGTATCACATTGTATGTAAATATTATTTATGTAAAACTCATTAATAAAATGTATCACTATAGAAAGAATGTGGAAACTTTCGTTAAAATTATCAGAGAAAAATATTAGTTGTTCTAATAGAAAGGTGTTTGT